GTGGTATCTGAATGCGGTACTATCTCTTAGCCCCGGTACTGGTGTAGGGTATTCCGGTCGTCTGCGCTTTTCCAAACCTGGGGGAGAGAACCCTCTCTATCTCTAAAAAGGGCGCTAAATGGCGTTGGCGCAGAACAAATGCGTGTGATACTCGTGATCAGGACATCAAATAAACCTGCAAGTGGGCAACATTGTATCGATATTGATGAGAAAGATGGTGGCGCCAAATGGTATACCCAATATAACGGCTGTTTCATTAGTGTTGAGAGAGTACTGAATAATAATCTATGTGAAGTATTAGCAAAAAATTGGATTTGATTCTAACTGAAGGCTGCCCTTTTCCTTTGCATTCATGTCCTTTTAAGCTACGTGAAATGTGATAGTTGTTGGGTGTAGTGCAAGAGTGCTGAACAGATGAAAATGACTCGCTCGTATTATTTTTGTTATTGTTCAGGTACAACTACAGCTGCTTACGGCAGTTGTGAAGTTATTCCTGAAACGACCAACTGATACTCAACAGCTGGTTCAACGTGTGTTGTCTTTGGCTACTCAGGATAGCGATAATCCCGATTTGAGAGATCGCGGGTGTGTTTTATTTCTTTGTGTCGTTGTTGTTATTCTTATAGTAAACGTACAGAATGGATGAAAAGAGGGGATAAAAATGAGTTGGGAGTGCTGCAGAAGAGCGAAGTTGTATCGAGTGGATGAAAAGTGTGGTGAGTGACCAAAGCATTGGTAGAATGATAGTAGCTGATCATCCTACTTATATAATCGGCTATGTCCGTGTGTGTGTGTGTGTGTGTCTGTCTGTCTGTCTGTCTGTCTGTCTGTCTGTCACGAAATTCATAGCACCTGAAGAAGAACTTGGAGGGGTCGGGTCATGGTGGGGATGGGTAGGGCATGGGACAAAACCTAAATAGCACCCATGACCCATGGTAAGCCCCGCCCACAGTGGGCGGGGCGTGCGCGAAAGTTAGCGATGTCACTGAAAAAAAATCATAACTCGGTTCCAGAGCAGTCCCGAGATGGGGGAACAGTGCAGTAAAGTTAACAAACGACTGACCGACAATTAGAGGAGCCGCACCTAAACAAACCTGGGCGGGGCGTACTTGAGATGGGCGGGGTGTGATAATGTTTAAATAATAATAATGTTGAATAATAGTGTTGTATAATGTTAGTGTTGAAAATAGCAGGTATGATGCTATTGGTCAAAGAATGTTGATCATCTGTTCAGATAAAAGAAAAGCCGGATACTAGGCGGGTACTGAAATGTGTGGAAGAAGGGAAGCGCGCCCACCCGGCGAGGTCGTGCTGTATCTCAGAACGAGGCACCCCGGCGTCAGCCAGCCAAGGCGGCTGGTTCAAAAAAGATCAGGCGTTGACCATAGTTATGTGGAAGCGATAGACCGGGAAAAAGTGTGTGGTGTGATAAAACAATCTGGGTTATTATTTTTGTATCTAGGGAAACTAGCAGGGCGTTATTTCGCTTAGAGGAGGGTTTTAAGAATCCTCACCACCTTGACGGAGAACAATGCGGACGATATGATAAGCAGTGAAATGGTATTTTGTCTCATGCCCTATCCGTCCCCACCACGACCCCACCACTCCAAACTCTTCTTCAGGTGCTATGAATTTCGTGACAAATCACACAGCACATCACTACATGATCTGTTCATTTTCCACGCACGCCCCGCACGCATGCCACGCACGCTACTGCACGAATCATAGTCGATTATTACATTGGTTGAGTAGATCATCAAATATGGCGTAAAACCCAAAACAGAGAATATGCGAAATGAAAGTTCGGAAGTAACATTCGCAGCCTCCGAAGGGAGATACGCTCCATACTCCAGAAAATAGGGTAGTTGCTCATAGAAGCAACGTTTCTTGACTGCTCCGTATCTGCCTTGTGAAACCTGTTTTAGTGCTGGTTTCAATAAATTTAGATTCAGCTGGTCGAAGAATATATTCGTTCAGATATATATACTGGCGTTTGTTGTCGGCTGATCCTGCTGCAGCTAAGCAGGTTGTTCTAGCTGAGAAGCCGTTGATCTCGGAAGAAACCGATCTACTGGAACCATCTCTTCTTGATCAACTTATCGGTCACATTGGAAGTTTGGCATCTGTGTATCATAAACCACCGTCTTCGTTTGTTGATGGTGCAAGACTACCACTGCGAGCAGGAACAGGGTCTAGCAAGTTAGTTTTACTGAACAGGCGATCTTATTTTAGCTATCAGCTTAGTTAGCTTTTCTAGAGATTTTTTTCAATTACCGCAGAATTACCCAAATTTCCCTTGGTGAACGTAACTACCTCTTCTTCAGTGGCCAGTCATCTATGGACGTCGCCGGTGGATCTATTCCGGGTATGGCTCGAACTACCGCTCCCACAGTTATTCCTTCTCAAGATACTCTTATTGCGGATCTGTTATCTCTTGATATTTCTACACCTATGGGTGCGCATATGACTACAATGCCAAGTAAGAATTTACTGAAAAAAATACCTGTTGGTGTTTACCTACCTTTCCGAAATTGTGTACAGTAATCACTGTTATATTGTTCCCACTCTTTGATCGTTTTTACTATACGTTTTCATGCGGTCCACGAAATCTCCTCCTTATGCTGGCCATTATCTTTTTTTTTCTCTGAACAAGAATTCATAGGATTCTCTTTAGCATATGCACCAATGTCGACGTCTGGCGGCCTCGACGATCTGTTGGGCTTGGGAGGCCCTTCCCTCGTCGAAACTGCCACCCCTCCAGTGGCGCCCGTCAGTTTCGATCCCCTTGCCAGTCTAGGACTTGGGGGTCCTCCCACGGCCGCACCAGCACCTTTGGGTGGTATTCCTGCCGCTCCCGTAGCTCCAGCAGCGGTGCCTTCATCGTTAGGTTTGTGGAATTTCTTTCGTAGCCTCTGCCTTCGTAGATACGTTTTTTATTCAAAGGTGGTCTTGGTGATATTTTTGGCGGGTCTCTGGGACTGGTGGATACATCTTCCGGTTACCAAGCACCAAAACAGTTATGGCTCGATGCAGCAAGAGCAAAGGTATGTTCGAGTAACAAAATAAATGTTGTTCATCTTTTCAGCCCGGAAAGATTGTTTGGGCTCTTTGTAGTGAAGTATCCATCATTGTACGCGCTTTGAGGCGATTATTTCTATAAAATGATACCTCAATGTCACAATCTAACGCAGCTGAAAAGTTCATGAAGAACTTCTCCGATGTGCCGCTATCTCGTACTCCTACTACTTTAAATGCGTGTATAGAGCGTATGGCAAAGTGTGGTCAGCCATAAATGACAGATGGAACATCTTTAGCTTAAGATATATTCCCTGCCTTTTAGGGTTTGCAACTTGAAGGAACTTTTGTTCGTCGCGGTGGAAACATCATTATGGAAATGACTCTAACCAATAAAGTAAGGCAGTCTTTGAAGAGGTAGCAGTATATTTTTTTGGACATCTTATGTTGTTTTATGGCTTCAGGCAATGCAGCCCCTTTCCGGATTCGCTATTCAATTTAACAGGAACTCGTTTGGGTTAGCTCCAGCTGAACCGCTCAGGGTTCCGTCCCCTTTGATGCCGAACCAGAGCCTTA